CGGTGTAGTTTCCATCGGGCGACACTACGGCCAACGCCACACACATAGCTAATGGCCACGGGCTCATCCCGCCATCGTGCCTGGGTTGTGGGTTCGAGTTCTCTGGGCTGTGTCTTCGGCTTTCTTTGCAGCGCTCTCGCGGGCCTCTTGGCGGCCTCTCTTGGGGGCCTCTTGGCGGCCTCGTGGGGCCTCCTGGCGGCCTCTCGGGGGCCTCTTGGGGTCTCCTGGGGGCCCCTCGGGGCCGAGGGCTAGAAATGTTCGTTCAGGTTCCCCATTTGGGTCCCCTCTTGGGGCTGTCGTTTGGCCCTGTTGTACCGTCTTGGGCGCCTTTGAGGGCCCTCTTGGGCGGTTTGGGGACCCTGTTGGGCCGTCTTGGGGCTCTTGGGGGCCTCTGGGGTCGTCTTGGGGCGATCTTGGGGGCGTCGTGGGCCGTCGTGGAGCGTCGGGAAGCCGAGAAGGCGAGAACGCCACAACCCTTCAAACACCAAGAAGGACAATCAATGATTTCTGCCGCTTTGGGCACTTTCGGGAGGCCGTTCGGATGCCTTTTCGGGCCTTTTCGGGCGTTTTGGACGCCTCTTGGGCCGTCTCGAGGCCATCTTGGGCCTCTTAGACCGATCGTTCGGCGAATCGCGGCCCTCTTGGGCAGTCTTGCAAACCTCTTGGGGGCCTCTGCGCCCATCTTGGGGCCTTCTTTGGCCCGAACAAGTCATGCGACAAGCCGCGACGGGACCCAGAGAGCACGCGACAACCCCCAGAAGACTTCTTGGGATTCGGGGACGGAATTTCTGAATTTCAGGCCCGAGGATTTGGCCCAGGACCTGAGGACACGCCCATTCCTTGCCCAGCGGCACGGTGGCGGATATATATATATATATATATATATATATATATATACACACATGTATTTATATATATATATATATATATATATATATATACATGGATATAAACAATATTCAAGCATGCGCGACTTCATTGGCGTTTTGCGCCATGCCCCTTGGTCTGTCTTTGAAGTTTGGTTTGCAGGCGGACGGGCAGGAAGTAACAACTTAACATTTCGCAAGAAGTCCTTGTTGCTTTTTTCGACATCGTCGTTCATTCAGTGGTAGTCGTTATCATTCCCTCATGTTCCCTGCTTCTCTTCCACATTCTCACCCTACCTTGCGATGTCTCCCCAATCCTCAGCTCTTTCTGCGGAGGCTTCTCCTTGGATAGCCTCTTGGGGCGCTCTTCGGCCGTCTTGGAAGTCTCCTGGGCCTTTTTGGACACTTGTTCGGACTCTCTTGGTCCGTCTTGGGGCCTTCTGGCCGTTGGAAAAATCACGCGCAGGAGGATTCGAGTTTGAGACTTTGGGCCCCCTGCCTCCAATTGGAATGATGCAATGCCGAATGCAGAGTACAGGTGAGCTCTTAAATTCGGAGGCACACTAGACTGCGTACCTCGAGGCATGCTGGCAGATCTGTGTGTATGTCTGTCTATTTGTGTGTATGAACGCATGTGTGAATATATGTATGTATATGTGCATGTGTGTGTATGTATGCATGCCTGTCTGCCTGTCTGCCTGTATGTACGTATGTATGTCTGTATGTATGTATGTATGTACGCAGGTCTGTTTTATATAATATGTATACATGTATGTATGGATGGATGGACGGATGTCTGTCTGTATGTATGCAGCTATGCGTGTATGCATGCATGTGTGTACGCTTGTCGGTGTGTTAACTGTTTTTTATGTATGCTGGTCTGCATACATGCATGTCTGTATGTAGCTTGACACTTATTTATATGTTTAGGTGCTTGTAAACGAATATGTACATGTAGATGCATGCCGATATGACTGTGCATGTTTTGTATGTATGTATGCATTTATGCATGTATATGTGTATATGTATGCATGTGCATGTGTGCATGTGTGTATGTGTGTCTGTCTGTCTGTCTGTCTGTATGTATGTATGTATGCAGGTAGACATGTATTTATGTGTGTAAGTCGGTAGGTCGGTATCTATGTTTGTACATGTTTCTACATATGTATGTATGTATGTACGTTCGTGCGTGTATGTGTATATATATACATGTTTGTGTACGTATGTATGTATGTATGTATGTATGTGTGTATGTATGTACGTATACATACATATACACATATATATATATATATATAGATAGCGCCGCCCATGTTTCGCGTCACAGGGGATCTGTATTGGAGCGGCGGTCATGGCCGACACGTGGGCACATAGCCCCGCTGGGGCACGGGGCCAACCTCGGGTCACCCGAGTCCCGCCGGGCTCCCGAGGGCTCCTCCCGAGTGCTCCCGAGAGCGGCCACACAACCTGCCCGTCGACACGACGACGACGACGACGACGACGATGGCGACGACGACGACGAGGACGACGAGGACGACGACGACGACGACGACGACTTCTGAACCACCACATGCACAACCTGCCCGTCGACACGGGGGTGTGACTGGGCATACGGTGGGGGCGCGCATCAAGAAGCCATATGCTTTTCGTCAGGGGAGCTCCGGGTGTCCCCTCAGGTGCACCTCGCGCATGGGTTCTCGGGGTTGGGTTTCTTGCGAGGGTTTCTTGTGGCCGCGCCCGCACGGTACATCGCCGGAGATCTGGGGATCTGGGACCCCCTTTGCCGGGCGACGGAATCTATGCACATCCGCTGCCCTGTGGCCGAGCCCTCATTGGGCCCAGGTGCTGTGTAGATACGCCTTCCTTGCCGAGCCAGGGGGGCGGTGCGTATGCACCGCTTGCCGCTCGCCGGGTCCAGGATGGGCCTGGCCAGGGAGCAGCGGATGTGCATAGATCTCTGCGCCCGACTCCTGTTGCCCACCCCTCGTCTGGCTGCTGAACAGGCCGCGCGAGCCGCTGATTTGCTGCTTCGGTTGCGCGCGCCATGCGCGCCCTAGGATCGGGGGAGCGTAAGACCCGGGTTTGCCAGGGCTCGGGGTCGCCATCGTTTTTTTACGACCGCGCCTCGGATTTGTGGGAGGCCTCGTCAAAATGCAGGCTCGGCCTCGTCATTTTTTTGACGACCTCGTCGGGGATTTCCGAGTCCCCTGTACCCAGGTCTTACGCCCCCCGGATAGGATGGCGCGTGACCCTGTCGTCGCCACTGACAGGCCGCGCGGCGCGCGCGAGCGGGCGCACTGCCCAGCCCCCCGACGTCGTGTGTTCTCTTCGCGGCGTCGGCCCCCCCCCAGAGGTCTCGGCCCCTTCCCCGGGACCGGCTCCTCCTCCTCTTGGCCTCCCTAAGATTGGCACCAAGACCAATGTCTGCGGTGTCCCTCCATCAGACGACGCGAAGATCGGGACAAAATCGGATCGGGATAACTCGAAGTCTCTGAGAATCGGCGGGTTTGGAGGATGTATTGGGCGCCGCGGCCGCTCCAGAGCGTTCCAGAACGCTCTGAGAGCGCTCCGGAACGCTCTGGAGCGATTTATCCCGATCCTAGCCCTGTTTTATTTCTCCACCGAGGGAAGACGATCCCGATCTCGGTGATGGTGGTAAGATTCTGGCTTCCAAGGTGACCGGTATAGTACCACCAACATAGAAAATCTAGGATCATCTCCCCCTTGTGGAGGCAGCCCCCTGTCTTGGTGTTGGTGCTCATTTCCAGGCCTCTCATTCTGAGACGCTTCTGTGTCACGCCCCCCGAGGCCCGGGCACGGGACCCGAGAGGCCGAGCGCAGCGATGGCGAGGCCTCACTCCCGGGGGGATTTCTTTTTCGCAGCGCGATGGGGGCCTCGGGAGGAAAACACAGAACAAAAGACGATCTTGCCGCCCGACGCTGCTCGCCCAGGGGTCCTGGGCGACCCCGTGAAGCAACCTCTTGGGCCCTCTTGGAGCGTGGGACACAGAACAAGGGCAAAGCCAGCATCGCGCAGAGGCCGCAGAAGCACCTCAGATTTGTGCCTCGTGGGGCCCTCTTGAGGGAGGGTCCTCTTGGAGCTCCCCTGGGGCGTCTTCGGGGGGGGGGGGTCTTTTGGGCCGTCTTGGGGCCATCTTAGGCGTGTTGGAGCGCTCTTCGGCCGTCGTGGAGGTCTCCTGGGCCATCTTGGACGCTTGTTCGGACAGTCTTTGTCCGTCTGCGGGTCTTCTGGCCTTTGGAAAAGTTACGCGCAGGAGGATTTGAGTTTGAGACTTTGGGCTCCCTGCCTCCAACTGGAGTAATGCAATACCGAATGCAGAGTGCAGGTGGGCTCTGAAATCAAAGGGAACACTCGACTTCGTGCCTCGAGGCATGCTGGCGGATCTATGCGTATGTATGTATGTATGTATGTATGTATGCATGCATGCATGCATGCATGCATGCATGCATGTATGTATGTATGTATGTATGTATGTATACATATATGTATATATGTATATATGTATGTATGTCGGTATGAGGGTATGTATGTATGTATGTATGTATGTAGGTAGGTAGGTATGTATGTATGTATGTATGTATGTATGTGTGTGGGTGTGTGTATGCTTGTGTATGTGAGCATGCATGTGTGTATGTCTGCATGGTTGTATGTATGTATGTAGTCACGTATGTATGAATGGATGTATACATATATGTATGACTGATTGTATGTATGTGTGTATGTGTGTATGTATGTATGTATGTATGTATGTATGTATGTATGTATGTATGTATGTATGTATGTGTGTATGTATGTGTGTATGTATGTATGTATGAATGTATGTATGTATGTATGTATGTATGTATGTATGTACGGATGTATGTATGTATGTATGTATGTATGTATGTATGTATGTATGTATGTATGTAGGTAGGTAGGTAGGTAGGTAGGTAGGTAGGTCGGTAGGTAGGTATGTATGTATGTATGTATGTATATGTGTGCACATGTATATACATATACAAATGCATGCATGATGTACGTAGGCATGCATGTATGTTTGCATGCATGTGTGCATGCATGCAAACATACATGCATGGAACACTGGACTTCGTCGCCCGACGCTGCTCGCCCAGGTCCTGGGCGACACCGTGAACCGCGCGGCGCGCCTGGAGCAGCACTGCCCCCCCGGGGCGGTGCTCCTCTCGGGAGAGGCCGCCGGCCACCTGCGCGGCGAGGGCTTCGGCGTGGAGGAGAGCCCCCCGCTGGCGGGGCGGGGGCTTCGGCGCGGCGAGACCTCCTCCCTCCTCCTCCTCCTGCTGCTCCTCCTGCTGCTCCTCCTCCTCGTCCTCCTCCTCCTCCTCCTCCTCGCTCCTCGCTCCTCGTCCTTCTCCTCCTCCTCCTACTCCTCCTCCTCCTCCTGCTGCTCCTCCTGCTGTCCTCCTCCTCCTCCTCTCCTCCTCCTCCTCGCTCCTCGTCCTCCATCCACCTCCTCCCCTCCTCCTCCTCCTCGCCTCCTCCTCCTCCTCCTCCATCTCCTCCTCCCCCTCCACCTCCTCCGCCTCCTCCTCCTCCTCCTCCTCCTCCTCCTCCTCCTCCTCCTCGGGTCGCCTACGGGCCAGGGGGAAACCGTGCACCCCCCTGGCGCAGCGGGGGCTTCGGCGCGGCGAGACCTGCCAGATGGGGTCGGAGTAGATGGGTGACACGTTTCCTGAAGGGGCGCCAGGGAAAGGGGCCTCTGAGACCGCGGCGTTGCACTTGAGACTTCGAGGAGTGCGAGTGAAAGCGTCATGCGGAGACCTTGTGGGCGAAGCCAAGCGAACTCGAGAAATGGGCGTCGCCAGTCTCAAAAGTCCGTTTCCCTGGCTTGGAACCACATGAGTTGGGTCGGAGGATCGCGCCACATCGGCGATGCCTCGACGATGCGGCTCGATGTGGGGCCCGATTTGCTTCACGTTGACGTCGCCGTTGCATCGCCGACGTCGACGATGCATCGCCAGTGCATTGCCGATGCATCGCCGATGCATCGGCGATGCGGCGCGATCCTCCGACCCCATCTACTCCGACACCATCTAGGAGGCGTCTAGTCGCGGCGAGGGCTTCGGCTTGCGGGGGTTGCCAGAAGCGCCCCTGGTCCCAGACCCCCTCGCGTCGTGAAAGAAATCACCACGGAGGGGTTTTCGCCATGCTCGGCCCCGGGGGCCCGTCCCGGGCCTCGGCAGCGTCAGCAAACGGTTCAGGAGAAACAGCCGGTCCTGGGTCAGGGGTCGAGACCTTTGGGGGTCGACGCTTCGATAAAATCACGACACGGGGGTCTGGCAGGTGCCCCCAGCTTTTCTCGCTCCATCTTGGAGGCCCATTGGGGCCCTCTCGGAGCCCGTTTCTATCTTGCTTGGGGCATGACGGGCGGCATGGCCCCCGCTCCCCCCCCCCCCGCCCCTGACGTAACGCTCCCCCCCAGTGCGCTCCGGGCACTGCCGCCGTGCGCATTGGGATCCGCGTAGGTGTTCGCGTAGGAATCCGCAGAGGAGTCTGGTCCGCAGTCGTCGTCATCGTCGTCGTCGTCGTCGTCGTCGTCGTCGTTGTCGTCGTCGTCGTCGTCGCTCGTGGCTCGTGGCCCGTCGCTCGTCGCTCATCGTCGTCGTGCGCGCGGACGCGGCTGGAGCCTGTTTTTATTCCGGGCCGATGACGGCAATCATCTGGGGGAGGGGTGGCGGGGGTCGATGACGTCACGTTTCGCGCCGGCGGCGTTTGGGAGTTCCTCGGAATGACGGAGGACGGGTAGCACCAGCATGTAGGCGGCGATCTGTACTACAACGTTTGTGTACATTACAGTGCCTGCGTGCACCACAGCGCCTGCGTACACCACACCGTCTATGTACACCACAGCAGCCACGTGCAACACAGCGTCAGCTTGTGCCACCGTGCCTGCGGGCACAACAGCTCTTGTGTACACCACAGCGCCTGCGTACATCACATCAGCCGTGCGCAACACATCACCCGTGTACACCGCAATGTTTGCGTGCATTGCAATGCTTGTGTGTACCACGGTGCGTGTGTGCACCACAGCAACCGTGTGCAACACAGCACCACTGTTGTCTATAGAAAGTTTAAAAGAATCCTTGTGACAATGGAGCGCTTGCGGATTCAACAGCAAACAATACACATGAACCCTTATGGACAAAGGAGCGCCGCTGGAACCTACGAGTCCTCCCGAATCCGCCCGCATCACCCTAACTCCGCCCATCTGCGTCCAGGAGGCTCTAGCTAACTTGGCCGTCCGAGAACCAAGTGGACCGATTCAATGGACCATTCTGCGGTGCACGCTGAGATGCGCACGTGCGCTGAAGCGCCAACCCGCACGACAAGGGGGTAAGGAAGAGGAGGAGGAGGAGGAGGAGGAGGAGGAGGAGGAGGATGAGGAGGAGGAGGAGGAGGAGGAGGAGGACGAAGAAGAGGAGGTGGAGGACGAGGGTGAGAGGAGGGAAGAAAGTCGCATTCGATTATCAGCACTGTCTTGGCGTGGCGTTCAGTTTTCCGCAGGAGTTCCTCACGTACATGTTCCTTCCACTTGTCCTATGTACGCAGGCATTGTGTTGTACACTGGCGCTGCGTTGCACGCGGATGGTGTAGTGTAGACAGGTGCTGTGGCGTGCACTGGCGCCGCGGTGCACGCAGGCACTGTGGTGTACACAGGCGCTGTGTTGCACAGGGTTTCTGCGGTGTACACATGTACACCGGCGCTGTGGTGTACGCAAGCATTGTGATGTACACAGGCGCTGTGTTGCACACGGTTGTTCTGGTGTACGCAAGCGCTGTGGTGTACACGCGCGCTGTGGTGCACGCGATCGCTGTGATGTACACAGGCGCAGTGGGGCAGATCGCCACTTACATGCTGCTCGCGTCGTCGTCTTTGTCGTCGTCTTTGTCGTCGTCGTCTTTGTCGTCGTCTCTGTCGTCTTTGTCGTCGTCGTCGTCGTCGTCGTCGTCGTCGTCGTCGCTCGTCGCTCGTCGCTCGTCGCGTCGTGCGCGCGGGCGCGTCTGCTTGGTGCCGGAGCCACAAGGTGGGGGGGGGGCGTTACGTCATATCCTCCCCCGCCCCCCCCTTGACACCCGTCATCACCGAACATAAACGCGCTCTTGGCCTCGTGAGTGGTGCTCTGGAGGCCGTGGGGGCCTCGTTGAAAATCCTGGGGGGCACCTCGGGCCAGGGGCACTCCTAGTAACACCCGATGCTTTGAGCGGGCGGAGAGCGGTATAACCCAGCATCGTTTCACGGATCCCCGTCTCTGTTCGCCGATTACACAGGGTATGGATCCTCTGGGTTTCCTAATAAAATGGCGGGGGGGTCATTTTTGGGGGTCTGATTTGGACTGTCTTGGAGGGTTCCAGTGGGGTCTGGGCATAAGGCCGCCCTTTCATGGCAGGTCCGGGGGGGTGTCTAAAACGTCTCGTCTGGGAGGGCTGCGCGGGCGGAGAGCCGTACAACTTAGTATCCCAGACATGCTCGCGTCGTAACAGAAATCAGGGCGGGAGGTTCTTTGCTATTTTCGTCCTCCGGGGGCCCCTCACTGGGCCTCGGGGCCGTTCATCAACGGCTCAGGATGCAGAGTCGGCCCCAGGGAAGGGGTTGGGGCTCCCGGGGGCTCGCTCAGGAGGGAATTAGCCTAACGAAGGACCCAACCATGTGCAGTTGCAAATGCCGCATTGTGGGTACTCGTTTCGGTGAAGCTCCGATGGGGCCACGAAACTTGTGAGGGGTGCGCCGAACTTGGTGGCGCGGACGCATGTGGATACCGCCACTGGGGCCTTCGGTGCAGCTCCCTATGGGGCCACGAAACGCTGCCCTGGGCGAGGGAGACGCTTGCGAGCTGCACCATTGGGACCTTCGCTGGAGCTCCTTATGGGGCCACGAAGCGCCGTCATGGGCGGGGGAGACGCATGCGAAGTGCGCCTCTGGCGCCTTCGGTGGAGCTCCCTATGGGGCCACGAAACGCTGTCTTGGGCGGGGGAGACGCATGCGAACACCCCGATTGAACCCTTCGGAGGAGCTCCCTATGGGGCCACGAAGCGCTGTCCTGGGTAGGGGAGACGCATGCGACCACCCCCCCCGCCCACCCACCCCCCACTGGGGCATTCGGTGGAGCTCCATTTTGCGCTACGAACGATGCCCTGGGTGGGGTGACCGCATGCGGGCACCCCCACTGGGGCCTTATATGGAGCCACCTATGGGGCCACGAAGCGCTGCCCTGGGCGGGGGAACCGCGTGCGGACACCCCCACTGGGGCCTTCGGTGGAACCCCCCATGGGGCTACGAAGCGCTGCCCTGGGTGAGGGAGACGCATGCAAACACTCCGATTGAGGCCTTCGGGGGAGCTCCCTACGTGGCCACGAAACGCTGCCCTGGGTGGGGGAACCGCATGCGGGCACCCCGACTGAAGCCTTCGGTGAAGCCCACCCCCATGGGGCTACGAAGCGCTGCCCTGGGCGGAGGGACCGCATGCGGGCACCCCCACTGGGGCCTTCGGTGGAGCCCCCTACGGGGCCACGAAGCGCTGCCCTGGGCGGGGGAACCGCACACAAGCAACCCCACTGGTGCTTTCGGCGGAGCCCCCCATGAGGCTACGAAGCGCTGCCCTGGGTGGGGGAACCGCATGCGGGCACCCCCACTGGGGCCTTCGGTGGAACCCCCCATGGGGCTACGAAGCGCTGCCCTGGGTGAGGGAGACGCATGCGGCCACCCCCACTGGGGCCTTCGGTGGAGCTCCCTGTGGGGCTACGAGACGCTGCCCTGGGCGGGGGAACCGCACGCGGGCACCCCCACTGGGGCCTTCGGTGGAGCCCCCCAATGGGGCCACGAAGCGTTGCCCTGGGCGGGGGAACCGCATGCGGGCACCCCCACTGGGGCCTTCGGTGGAGTCCCCCATGGGGCCACGAAACGTTGCCCTGGGTGCGGGAACCGCATGCGGGCACCCCCACTGGGGCATTCGGTGGAGCTCCCTATGGGGCAACGAAACGCTGCCCTGGGTGGGGGAACCGCACGCGGGCACTCCACTGGGGCCGTCGGTGGAGCTCCCTATGGGGCCACGAGACGCTGCCCTGGGTGGGGGAACCGCACTCGGGCACCCCCCTATGGGGCCACAAAGCGCTGCACTGGGCGGGGGAACCGCACGCGGACACACCCACTGGGGCCTTCGGTGGAGCTCTCTATGGAGCTATGAACCGCTCCCCTGGGTGTGGGAACCGCATGCGGGCACCCCCACTGGGGTCTTCGGTGGA